TCCTAGTGTTGACAGATTCTTTACCACTACGAGCTTTTGGCGAAGCTATGATTTCACATGATTTCACTTTTTGGACCAACATTTTTTTTTCAATAGCACTGCGAAGCCCATCTAACCTTGAAAAAGAAACATAAAAATTCTTCTGTGACCAACAAAAATGAGCTTCTTGCAATATTTCCACCCTCCAACCCTTGCGAAAGTATCTTCTACACAGAAGTCCGATTATTGAGATTCCGACGCAGACAATGCGCGGGCTACGCTCATCGCATTTGACGCGGTTCTAAGCCGACGCTCACTGCTTAGAGGAAACGTGGAGTGAGAGACGCAGACGTCGTAGAAACCGCGCCGCAGCTTTGACCGCAGTTTGTGCATTGTCTGCGTCGATGGCTATCCTGCCAATGGGAAAGATGAGGAAAAATTAGGGAAAGTTGCAAAAAATGCAAAAATCAATTGCATAACATCAGAAAAATACATCAGAGGCAAACATGGAAAAACATTATGAAGAGGTTTATGTAAAAAAAAATTATATTTCAGCCAGCAGCAATAGCAGTTCAAGCGAACGAGTGCAACATCCACGTGGTGGTCAGTCTGTTCCTGATGTTCTTCTTCATCATCCCGGCCTACATCCACGCCGTCTGGTACTGCTTCATCCGCAAACCCGCCGAGCACATCATCGCGTGAACACAGCGCCCGTCTTTCGCTCATCTCATCCCAACTCACTCCCATCGCAAGCAGCTTCTGCCGCTGGGAAGCGCACTTTGTTCTCGTTTCTTTTGTTTTTATTTGCAGGCTTTATGTTGATCAGTTTACCATTGTGCACAAGGACATCAGTTCAACCCCCTCTCACTTCGCACTTACCCTCTTATTCGTTGTCATTCCACTTGTTTTATTTTATTGATCTTGTTCTCATGTGTTTTGACCAAATAAAAATAACAATGATCTGTTTTTATTGTATCAGAAAATCAGTTGATTTATGGAGACACTACAAGGCAGTCATTGAAGATTTTTGCTGGTTCTATGTACTGAAATGAAGAACAAGACAAAGCTTTGTGTGAGTCTGGAGAAAGACTGCTCTCAGAATTCTCAACGCTTTCAAGGAGAAAGATGCAGTCCGTGTCAAAACTCTTTTCCGCTGAGATAACACGCGCCCGCTGACGCGTCGCAAAACTTTCGCGAAGCGGTTATCCCGGTAGCAAAAAGAGTTTAAGATTGACACAGCCTGTATCGTCGTAAAGAGCAAAGAAATTTTATGTGTATTGTTTGACAAAATATTTTGAAAAGAAAAAGTTTTGGAGATCACAGTAGTAGCAAAAGCAATTGTAGGGCTTGTTGAAGCTGAAGCAAAAGCAGTTCATCTTTGATAGGGACCATGAATTGAGTATAGTTAATGTATAATTCGATGCCGAGTAGTAGGAAAGCTCACTTCAATTTGTCGAATTACTTCGTTACCCCGTAGATACGAAGTGCTTCCCCTGCGCAAAGACTGGCACTCCAGCAAGCAAAAGAAGACCTAGTACAAAGCAGCACACAAATGCCTGAATGCTTTCGTTCTTGGGCAGTTCAGGGCAGTTCGTATATGGAGTGCAAGATATGCGAAACTCAAAAATCGCCTTTTCTGGAAA